GTATGAGTTACGAACTCTCGAATTATTTCTTAGAAATTTTTCCGCTTTTTTTTCATAACTTTGGCTAAAAATCAGCGTAAACGAATTTATTTTGACAACCATAGAAAAACCTTCAGCTTCTGTTGAACTGACCCAATTTTACAACAATCTTCCATTAATGTCTAGTTTAAACTATTTTATAACTCTTTCTATGTGCTCATCTACACTACCAGTTACATAACGCCCTGCTGCCAAATCCGCTCTCGTTTGCGCCAGAGCGGCTTCTAACTCACATTCCCTCAAAAATTGATATTGTTTAATATCAATCACCACATACCGATTTTTGCCATGCACGGAAATAAACGCTTCTGGCTCATTCTCTAGTGCTGCTTCAATAGCACTAATTCCTTTGGTTTTCAGCTCACTAGCGGTTAATTGACTCATTTTATGCTCCCTTACTACAATTTTGATGACATAATAGCCTAATTTTAGCACAATTATTTAGTCATTTATTAGCACAAAATACAATACAATTAATAATCCTTTATTCACACTGACATTTCCACTACCAAACTTGCCTTAACAAATCTTTTGCCATTATCCCAAAATAGGCTAAAATGAACAAAGTAATTACTTTAATCACTAACTTCTAGGGCTACTGCTATGCAAATCATGACCGCAAAAGATGCAAAAACTCGTTTTGGGCAAGCACTCGATACCATGCAAAAAGAACCCATACTCATCACAAAAAATAACCGTCCTGTTGGCGTACTCGTTTCCCTTGATGACCTAAAGGGAACCTATCTTGCTGATCTTTTTATGGAAAAAGAATCCGATTATGATCAGTGGGCAACCTCTAAAGTCAGTACCAGCATTCAACGCTTAAAAACACAGGGCTCAAAAGGACAGTCAGCTGATGAACTTCACGCTTTAGTCATGGATAAAGTGCGCTTACGTTTAAACAATAACCAATAATTCATGTACAAAATCGTTTACGAGCCTGAGGCGGAAAATGACCTCATCGAGATTCTTTCATACTACGCCGAAAATGGCGGCTTCCGTCTTGCGCAGGCAATTAATGAAAGAATACAACATCATATAAAAAAGCTCGAAAATATGCCTTTTCGCTCAATCCAAAGTGAAAATATCCCTGATGCACGCGAATTCCTGATAGATAACTTACCCTACAAAGCCTATATCTTCATCAACGAAGACACTCAAACCATTCACATTTTAAATATCGTCCATACCGCCCGAAAATTCCCCAATTAACCCAAGCTCCCATTAAATAAAACCTACAAAACCAACCTATTGTTTTATAACGACTTTAACCAAGAGTTGCGAGGCCAGCCTTGTGAGTCTGATGTTATAAAACGCTTTTCTCTGCTGAAATAAAACTCGGATCTTCCCAACTGAGTCCCGCTTCCTTTTTATCGTACAAATCCTCATTGACCAACACCCAGAACTGATCGTGAAAATTTTCTTTGGCAATTAACTCAACCGCGCCAAATTGCTGCAACGCTTTCAGACCTGTTTCCGGAATTTGTACCAAGTAGGGTTGAAGTTTGCGGGCGATACCTCCCACTTTTTCAGCATAACGCAACTGATTAATCAATTCTTTAGCCTTATCATCATATTGCACAATAACCGGAATCATCACGTTATCGATCATCCGAAAATCTTTGGCGATTTGCTGAAAAGGGAAATCCAAGGTTTTGGCGTTATCTAAATGCGACTTTAATAACTGTTTCTTATCAAGCTCTGCCCCTTTTGCCCAATAAACACTTTGGAAATAACTTTTTATGGCCTCAGGAACGAGTAAATCCCCCTCATGGTTGCGCATGACTTCACGCATATTTCCCGCCAACTGCTCTAATTCAGGTGGTGTTTTCCAATCTTCCTTATTGGCTTGAAATACGTATACAAAACTGTTATTCACATCACGCTTACCTTCTCGATTACACCGCCCAGCGGCTTGCGCAATTGAATCAAGCCCAGCCTCAGCTCGAAAAACACAAGGAAAATCAACATCAACCCCTGCTTCAATGAGCGAAGTGCTCACTAAGCGACAAGGCTCACCCTTTTTCAGCTTGCTACGAATTTCTGTTAATTTCTCTGTGCGGTGCTTGGCACACATCAAGGTCGTTAAATGGTATGCGCCCTCAAGATTTTCCTTAACCATTGAATCATATAAACTTCTGGCATGACGGCGGTTGTTAACGATCATCAATACCTGCTCGTGTTGTTTTAAGTGTTCTAACAATTGCTCATCGGACTGAACACCTAAGTTTTTGACCTGTACGCGTTTAAGCATTTGAAACAAATCATCTTTATTTTCGGTAAGCTCGCGGACATTCTCAAAACCATTAAAAAAACCATGATCTTTTAATAAAGCAGGTTGTGTTGCCGTACACAGCACCACACTACACCGATAGTTCCGCGCCAATTCCTTAATGGCTTCCATGATGGGGCGCAATAACTTTAGCGGCAACATCTGCGCTTCATCCAAAATGATGACGCTGCCTGCAATATTGTGTAATTTCCGACACTTAGATGAACGATCAGCAAAAAGTGATTCAAAAAACTGTACTGCTGTGGTTAGGATGACGGGCGCATCCCAGTTTTCTTGTGCTAATTTCAGCTTATCCTTTGATTCTTTCTGGGTAAATTTTTCATCAGAAAAAGTGCTGTGGTGTTCGAGCACGGCTTTTTCACCATGCTCACCAAACGCTTCGCGGAATATCTTGGCATTTTGCTCGATAATACTCGTAAACGGAATCACATAAATGATTCTTCTAACACCATGATTTTCATGGTGTAATGCATGATTCAATGCAAAAGCCATTGAGGTTAAGGTTTTGCCACCCCCTGTTGGCACGGTTAGCGAAAACAACCCAGGTTCTTGCCCTGCTTGGGCAATTGCATGATTCAAAATTTGATCACGTAACTTATTTAACTCGCTGGGGTTTTGTTCGGCAGCGTACGTCTTTAATTTACTGAGATGTTGATCTAATTGGTTTTTTAGGGCTGGTAAGGTTGGCAAATCCAGCTCACGCAATGACTCGCCTTCCAGCTGCCGATAAAAATTATCGGTATCAATAAAGTCTGCATCGACCAAACACGAATACAACATACGGATTAAAAAGGCACATTGGAAACCCGCAAAATCCCCTGCGCCTTTTAAGTTTGGCAGACTCAGTTTTTCAGGTAGTTGAATCTCTTGCTGCCAAATCGCATCAAGTGCTGGGAGTTCTTTACCTAACTCCTGACTTAATCGACTTTTTAAGGTGCGACGACTTTCTCCATCTCCATCACCGTTCGCTAAACCTGCATGATGCCCTGCTATGATAAAAGCCAGTAATTTACCCAAATGCCCATATTTTTCAACCACAACTTTTGCACCCGCCGTCGCATGATCGGCACGAGCTCCACCTTTTAAACGAGCTTGAAAGGCTGCGCTATATTTGCCTAAATCATGCAATAAGCCTGCAATTTCAGCAAGTTGCTCACCACCAAACCATTTTGCGTTACGAGCGGCTATTGCTCCGACCGCTTGCAGGTGGTCGAACAAGCCCTGCCAATCGGATTGATCGGTATGCTTCCCTGTATGTGCATAAAACTTCTGTCCCATCGCTACCCCTCTTCTACTCGCATTTTTTTGGATAACCAGATTTGATCACAACACAATTGAACAAACAAGCTGTACCAAATCTGATACATCAACTCAGTTGCCCCATTGAGTTAACTGTTGTGAAAGCTGTAAAACTGTTATGAATTTGAAAACAACCATGGTTTTAATGCCTCACGATTGGCCAACACCAACGGTTTAGATTCTGGCTTTGACTCGAGTTTTTTGCCTTGAGTTTTTCCCGCAGCAAGATCAAGTGGCAAAGTCTGCAAAAAATAATCGACTAAACAAGCTCTTAACTTAACAATCAATTGTTGATTGGTCATCTTATAGTCTTTGGCGATCACCTCTTGTTTGATCGAGGGCAATTGCGGATTAGGCTTTAAAACCACGTCAACCAACTGATTCCAAGTATCATCACCCTCAACCCCTTGCTGAGGATTTTCTATCGATTCACGAACGCAGTCCATCTCGGTTACCTCAATCCGACTTAAAGTAAAATCCTTGAATAATTTGCTTTTTTCACAATAAGCTCTCACATGCCAACGATCGAGGGCATAAATGAGATGATGCGGAACAATCGTTCGTCCATCACGATCATCGCTGCTCATGGAGGCATATTCAATATCTAGACGTCGGCTTTCACGGATTGCTTTGAGTAAAGCCCTCATCGTCACCACACTAACGCCTTGCCGAGGCAAATCTAAAACTCTTTCATAAGCAACAGGTTGATAATATTGCGCTGGTGCTAGAATGTTTAGCGTGGATTGGTTAGGAACCAATAAATCGAAGTACTGGTCTACGCTGCCATCTAAATATTTAAAGACAAACGAATCTTGTGCCAAATAGCTTTTTTGGGATTTGTCATAATCCAAGTTTGATGGCGCATCTTTGCGATATTGCTTAAGATCATCTGTAGCGATATTTTGACTGATGCCAAATTGTTTCGTGAGATCGCTACGATTGATCCGCCCTTCCCAATAGGCAATCAACTCGATATACCGCTGTCGGACAGTTTGTGCTTCCGTTAACATCTGGTCTCCATAGTTTTTGACTACCCAAATTCCACATCAAGCGCAATCTATAACTACATAATTGATTGGTAGTTTGATGCACCCCCTTATCTCCAGCGAGTGAACAGAAGGTTTTTCTATTGATCATGAAACTAACGATCGACCAAGGTGCTACACGATAGATATTTTTGATAAATCAATTGATTAACGCAATTTTATGGTTTTTAGCTATAGATTTTGACAATGCCATTCTTTGGAATGATTTTATACGGATAATGCATGTTAATCAACAATAACATTCTCTTTGGTAATAAAACTAGGCTCGTAAAAAAAGCGAGTCAACCGACTCGCCTTTGTACCCAACATGTTTTACATATCAATCACTTAGCATTCATCAACGCCACCGTCGTATCCAACATCCGATTACTAAAGCCCCATTCGTTGTCATACCATGAATTGACTTTGACTAAACGACCTGAAACCTTCGTTAACGTCGCATCATAGTTTGATGAATGTGGATTGCCGTTGTAATCAACAGACACGAGCAGTGCTGTGTTATAGGACAAGATGTTTTTGAGTTCACCCTCTGATGCAGCTTTTAAGATGCTGTTCACTTCTTCCACCGTTGTATCGCGTTTGGCAATAAACGACAAATCCACCACAGAAACGTTAATGGTCGGTACACGCATGGCGTAACCATCCAATTTACCATTAAGTTCTGGCAACACCAAACCAACTGCAGCTGCCGCTCCTGTTTTGGTCGGGATCATCGACATCGTGGCAGAACGCGCGCGGCGTAAGTCGCTGTGATAGACATCGGTTAAAACTTGATCGTTTGTGTAAGCGTGGATCGTGGTCATCAAGCCTGTTTCAACGCCAATTTTGTCGTGTAAAGGTTTGACCAAAGGTGCTAAACAGTTGGTTGTACACGAAGCATTTGAAATAACGGTGTCAGTTGCTTTTAACACGTTATGATTGACACCATACACAATCGTTGCATCAACATCTTTATCACCAGGTGCAGAGATAATTACCTTTTTTGCACCACCGGTTAAGTGAGCGCTTGCTTTGGCTTTGCTAGTAAAAAACCCTGTACATTCGAGCACCACATCAACCCCTAACTCACCCCAAGGCAATTGGCTAGGATCACGGTTGGCTAATACACGAATTTTATCGCCATTGACCACCATGTAATCACCTTCAACTCGCACTTCACCATCAAACTTGCCATGGGTGGTGTCGTAACGCGTTAAGTGGGCATTCGTTTCCACATCGCCAAGATCATTAATTGCAACAATTTCAATATCATGTGTTTTGCCACCTTGGTAGTGCGATCGTAGAATATTGCGACCAATACGACCATAACCGTTAATTGCCACTTTAATTGTCATCATAACTCCCGTTAAATTAAAAAATATCTATCCTATTGATGATTAACAATCATCAAAAAATTGATGTTAAGCCAAAGCTGCTTTGACTTTAGCCACGATGTTATCAACTGTAAAGCCAAAATGTTCAAACAAAAGATTAGCTGGTGCTGATTCACCGTAGCCATTCATTCCGATCACATCCACACAGCCATATTTCCACCAAATACTCGTTTCGCCTGCTTCAATAGCAATGTTTGGCGTGCCTTTGGGTAAAACTTGGTTGCGATATTGTGCGTCTTGTCGATCAAAAACTGTGGTCGAGGGCATTGATACCACATTAACAGCAATACCTTGTTTGAATAAAGCATCAGCCGCTTTCATCGCCAAATCCACTTCAGAACCTGTTGCAATCAGTTGCAAAACTGCATTGGGATTTGTTTTGAGGACGTACGCTCCTTTTTGAATCGCTGCGATCTGTTTAGCGCTGCGCTGCTGAAATTGTAAATTTTGACGTGTAAAAATCAGACTGGTTGGACCGTCAGCTCGTTTAACAGCTGCCCCCCACGCCACGGCAGTTTCGACCGTATCACAAGGTCGCCACACGTCCATGTTCGGAATAATACGCAAGGCTGTTGTATGTTCAATAGGTTGGTGGGTTGGGCCGTCTTCACCCACACCAATAGAATCATGCGTAAAAACAAAGATATTACGCAATTTCATAAGCGCTGCCATGCGCAAGGCATTGCGAGCATAATCGGAAAACGTTAAAAACGTTGCAGAAAAGGGGATATAGCCACCGTGCAGCGCAACGCCGTTGGTCATGGCGCACATGCCAAATTCGCGTACACCATAACTAATATAGTTACCCGTTCCCGCGGCGGTCACCACTTCGCATCCTGACCAGTTGGTCAAGTTTGATCCTGTCAGATCAGCCGAGCCGCCTAAAAACTCTGGCACACCTTTGGCTAAGCCGTTAATCGCATTTTGTGAAGCTTTGCGTGTTGCGATAGTTTCGGCTTTTTGATTGCAACTTTCAACATAATCAGCTAAAACCTGGTCAAAATCAGCTAAAAGCTGACCTTTCATCCGCCGAATAAATTCGCTGGCTTCTTGTGGATATTGTGCTTGATACCTGATAAATAATTGATTCCATGTGTTTTCAATTTGTTCGCCGTGCGATTTAGCATCCCAAGCGGCATAAGATTGTTCTGGAATCACAAAGGGTTCATATTCCCAACCAATTGCGGTACGAGTCTTAGCAATGACTTCATTGCCCAATGGCGCACCGTGTACCTTGTCACCACCTTCTAAGCCTGGCGCACCCTTGCCAATCACAGTTTTACAGCAAATAAGTGTAGGATTTTGATTTTGTTTGGCTTTAATCAGAGCCGCCTTGATTTGCGCTACATCATGACCATCAACTCCCGTGATCACATCCCAACCGTAGGCCTTAAAACGTGCTGGTGTATCATCGGTAAACCAACCTTCAACTTTGCCATCGATAGAAATACCATTGTCATCCCAAAAACAGATCAACTTATTGAGCTTTAGTGTTCCTGCTAAAGCACACACCTCATGCGAAACCCCTTCCATCAGACAACCATCACCCATAAACACATAAGTATGGTGATCAACAATATTTAAATTGTCTCTATTAAATTGATTGGCAAGCAGTTTTTCTGACAAAGCCATGCCAACTGCATTGGCCAAACCTTGTCCCAAAGGGCCTGTTGTGGTCTCAACACCAGCAGTCATGTGATTTTCAGGATGACCAGGAGTTTTTGAACCAAACTGGCGAAATTGTTGAATATCGGCCATCGACACATCATAACCTGTCAGATGTAACAATGAATACAACAACATAGAACCGTGACCATTGGACAAAACAAATCGATCTCGATTAAACCATTGTGGGTTTTGCGGATTATGTTGCAAACCGTTTTGTTGATCGCCCCATAAAGCCACTGCAATTTCTGCCATCCCCATAGGCATTCCTGGATGGCCTGAATTGGCTTTTTGAACCGCATCCATCGATAAGGCACGGATACTATTGGCCATGAGTTGAGTCGGTTTGTTGTCTAGGGAACTAGCTGAGGTTGTGGCTGTCATGATGTTGAAACACTGATTTAAAAAGCAAAAAAGCTTTTACGCAAAGGATTAAGGCAAAGGTTCGGTGCAATTACACACAAAATCGAAAAAATAGCCCTATATTTTAACAGAACAAGCCGTTTAATTCACACTAATTTCATTTCGACATCCATCGCGAATGCGAAACGATTTTGAATTTAACCTAGCCCTTAGCCAATGAGGTTTGCAACAACACAACTACACGTACACATCGACCAAATCTTCCACCTCAACTCGTGGTTCATCTTCGGGGTCATGATACCAACGCAAATGTGGCGAAGTTTGTAAACAAGATAAACAGGTGGTATCGTGCCACTGTTTGGCACAACATGGGCACATACCACGCGTTAAAAAGGTATTCCACGCATAACCACAACCTGGCACACAAATCCATTCACTGGTTGTTTTGGGTTTCCAACGGCAACACGGACAATAAATCTGTTGTTTTTTCATGAGGATAAACCATAGGGCAACAAAAAACTATTGGGTGATATCCGATCGTTCAAGCTCTAAGCGCAGCGCCCTGAGCGATTGATTAACATCCCACATAAAAAGCCCCAAACCCAACATCAATGACAATAAACAACACGCGAAGATAATAATGATCGCACCACCAACATTGAGTTGAAATAAAGCGGCTGTAAAAAGCATCAAGATCAGTAAAGCAGCAAACCACATGCTGCTCGTCACAGCAAGAATAGCATGACGTAAAATACCAGTACGATACAATAAGATACGTAGTTGTGTTTTTTTGTGGCAAACATCTTCAATATCGGGGTTCACTTCATGTTCCAACAAACGCACACGATCAATCGCATGGCTAAATCGATTGGTCATACTGAGCAGTAGCAGCCCTGCTCCTGAAATCAAAATCACAGGTGCAATGGCGACATTTAAAACAGGCAACAATTCACCTATTGAATCAAAAATTATCATGGTAAATTATTGATTATTAATTAAAAATATTTTCTAGAAGCCGCTTTTTAGCATGGCTTTGCGTGTTAATCGTCCCACCACCGTTAACATCGTCACAGGCAACAAACGCGACAAAAAATCCATCGCTTTGGCATCTAATCCCACAATAAGACGTGATTTTTGCTTTTCTATGCCCGCAATGATAGCTTTTGCCGCACTTTCAGGCGTGGACAATAGCATTTTATCGGATGCTTGCACCATTTGTTGCATGTCATGCTTGGCCACTTTACTGGCAAATTCAGCTTTTCCCGCAATGGCTGTTTTAACGCCCCCTGGATGCACACAACAAACGCTGACCTTGGTTGGCATTAACTCTTGGCGCAAAACCTCGGTAAAGCCACGCAATCCAAATTTTGACACCGCATAAGCTGATTGGGCAAAAGGTGGGATCAAACCATACAAACTTGAGACGTTACACACCAAAGCCCATGGTCTTGTTTTGAGCATGGGTAAGAAAAGTCGCGTCAGTTCAATGGGGGCTTGTAAATTGATCGCAATGACTTTTTCAAACTGCTCACGACTGACATCAGCAAATTGACCAAATAAGCCAATACCCGCGTTATTGATCAGTGCATCAACAAAACCAAATTTTTGTATCACATGATCTAACCACAGCTTTTGACTCGTTTCGTCTGTAATATCAAAAACATCGATCAACACAACCGCACTGGATTGTTGCGCAAGAATCATCTGCTGAGTTGTCAGCAAACCATCGGTATCGCGATCCATCAAGGCCAATAAACAACCTTTGTCAGCCAACTGCAACGCAAGAGCACGCCCTAGACCGCTACCCGCCCCCGTGACGGCAAACACTTTGCCTTGTAGTGATATTTTCACTTGAGGTGTCCACGTTTACGCAAACCATAGTTCCCAAATTTGCCCAGCACCGTTAAAGTGGTGACAGGTGCTAATCTTGCAAAAAAATCAATCACTTTTGCATCTGTCCCAACAATAACCTTGGGCTTGCCTTCTTTAATCCCTTCGATAATAATGCTAGCGGCTTTTTCGGGAGTGGTTACCAATGCTTTGCCAAACTCTGTTGCTAGTTTTACTCGTTGTTGTTCGGTATAGTTGCTTGCCGCTTCTGCGTTTAGGGCAATATTGGTTTTAATACCCCCTGGATGCACCGAAATGACTTTCACGTTTGTCGGCATCAATTCTTGGCGCAATACCTCATTAAAACCACGCAAACCAAATTTAGCAACGGCATACGCTGCATTACCAACAGGTGCTATCAAACCAAACAAACTTGATATATTGCAAATGGCTGCCCAAGGACGTTTTTTGAGTTCGGGCAGGAACAGCCGCGTAATATTGATCGGTGCAGTTAAATTCACAGCGACAACTTTGTCAAATTTTTCTTTTTCCACCTCGTCAAAATTACCCATCAAGGCAATACCTGCGTTATTAATAACCCCATCAACTTGGTTATATTCTGCCAAAATTCGCGCTAACCAGGCTTGTTGTCCTGCTTCATCAGTCACATCTAAGCCCTGCGACAACACTTTGGTTTGAGGGTACTGATTTTTTAATAAATCTACCGTCTGAGCCAAACCTACTTCATCACGATCACTAATCGCTAACGAACACCCTTCTTTAGCTAGACCCAATGCCAATGCGCGACCAATACCACCGCCAGCACCTGTCACGGCAAACACCATGCCTTGTAAACTTTGTGTCATAAAAGACTCCTGCTATTCTATATCCGCAAAAAAGCTAGATTATAATGGTTGTCAAATACCATGCAAGTCATTAGTAGCTTTTATCCACAAAAACTCCATTTAATGCCTACCCATATTAATTGTGTCTTTTAAAGCTCTACCCATAAAACACTTCTTTCGCTTTCGTTAATAACTGCAACCTAAAAAGTTATCGAGCCTATTTTGAACCCGATAACAACGAGCAGCTACGCAGAGGGTTCACGCAATTTTTTGACATATTCATCGGCATGTTGATGCCTAGTTCTTTCAACCACTGAGGCCACCTCTTTATCAACAATTGTCTGTCCAATAGGAAACAACGCTATCTTTGCAAATTTAAGATGTTGAATTCCAAAGGGAATACCTATAATGGTGATAAACAAGGCTAAGGCTGAAATCACATGACCAATGGCTAACCACCATCCTGCAAAAATAAACCACAGTATATTACCTACCGATCCCCAAAAGCCTGTACCCACATCGGTTTTCTCTGTCAGATCACGACGACTAATCGCTTCTTTGCCAAACGGAAAAAAGCAAAATTGACCAATCACAAAACACGCTTTTCCCCAAGGGATGCCGACGATGGTGATAAAGCAGATCAAACCCACCAGCCACCAACCGAGCCCCATCAAGACACCTCCTAACACGAACCATAAAAAATTCATGAAACCACGCATAGGTACTCCAAACTTAAAGCATCAATTATAACAATAACTTACTGCGCAGAACGTATTGCCAAATTTTCCAACCAATCTTTTCCTGACAGAAGGTAGCCTCCCACCATCAAACACCAAATTGGCAACAAAAACAAATACCCTTGATAGGTTATTTCATGCAGTAGACCATCGCTTGCACCAAGATAGACCAAAATCATTTGCATAAAACGCAATACGCCAATCACAATCAGGACCATCGAGAATTTCTGCTTGGCATGACGCAACAACAACCCTGTGGTTAATAAAAAGGCACCACCAAGTGCTGGTTGAATGGTTTGGAAAAACGAGTGGAAACCTGCGATGACAAACGCATTAAATGTTGATTTTGCTGCAATTTGCTCTGGTGAACCTGCTTGAGCTGCGTGGTACTCCACTAAAGTTGTTGGCACAACATGATACAAAAGAACTGCACCAATTAAGCCCATAGCAATATATAAAACACCGTTTACAAAGGCATAATTGGCAAAACCCCATGAAATTTTTTGCGTATAAAACCAAATATAAACTAAACCTGGAATAAACAACACATACCAACCCAAAATGTCACATAAATAAGCCAATTTAAATGCCCACAAATTTTCAATGGGCATTTGAATAAATAAGGGACCTGAAGCTAACATTTTAAAATCCCAGTTAGCCGAAATCGCAGCAAATAACAAATTACCAATCCCTAACAAACCTGATAACACAAGTGTAATAGCTACAAATTTTTTAAATTGATTCGATAACATTGTCTTCCCTTTTCATGATGTTGTTTTATCAATCGCATTATAGTTGAATCTGATTTTCTTTCGCAGATTGTTGGCTTATCCATGACAAAAAGGTGGGCAACCATCATTTCTGCATTATAAGCCTATAACAATAAGTCATTAAAAATCCCATAATAATCTCATCAAAACTAGAAACTGGCATGGCATTTGCGTATACCACTGCATCAATAGCCAAAGCAACCCACAAGGAGTCTTGCCATGTCGTTCAAGCCATCAGCTCAGAATAGCTCACAACATCTTGCACCATTTTCAAACATCGAGCAGGAAAACCGTGTCCGACCCAACCCTAGAATGAAATGGTCGCTATGGTTAGGCAGTTTCGTATTCATGTCGTCCATGTTCGCTTGCTCACCTCGTTCCGACCCTCCCCAAAAGAGTGCAGAACAAGCATCGACATCAAGCACAGCTCCCACAAATGGTGTAACACTTGAAAAACCCAATCTCAAAATCGGTTTTATCAAGCTCACCGACATGGCTCCACTTGCCATTGCTCTTGAGAAAGGATTTTTCAAAGAAGAAGGTTTAAATGTCCAACTAGAAGCACAAGCCAATTGGAAGGCAATTCTTGATCGAGTTGTCACGGGTGAGCTCGATGGTGCGCATATGCTCGCAGGGCAACCGATTGGTGCAACCATCGGGTTTGGCACCAAAGCAGACATTATTACCGCTTTTAGCATGGACCTCAATGGCAACGCCATTACCGTATCGAATGCCGTATGGCAACAAATGAAGCCTACTTTACCTAAAGACTCTGATGGCAAAATAACACACCCTATTAAGGCTGATTATCTCAAACCGATTATTGAACAATATCGTGCCAAAGGCAAACCTTTTAATTTGGCAATGGTTTTTCCCGTATCGACACACAACTACGAGTTACGTTATTGGTTAGCCGCAGGCGGCATTCATCCAGGATATTATGATCCAGCGAAAGGGAATGTTAGCGGACAAATTAAGGCTGATACGCTACTGTCAGTAGTCCCTCCACCACAAATGCCTAGTACATTACAATCTGGCACCATCAATGGTTATAGTGTCGGCGAACCTTGGAATCAACAAGCGGTGATCAAAGGCATTGGTGTGCCTATTGTTACCGATATTGACATCTGGAAAAACAACCCTGAAAAGGTATTTGGTGTTTCTAAAGCGTGGGCGGAAAAAAATCCAAAAACACACTTAGCTGTCATTAAAGCCTTGATTCGTGCTGCGAAGTGGTTAGACGAAAATCAAAATGCCAATCGCGCAGAAGCAGTTAAACTTTTGTCAAAAAGTCAATATGTTGGCGCTGATGAACACGTCATTGCGAACAGCATGACAGGTACGTTTGAATTTGAAAAAGGTGACAAGCGCGCCGTTCCCGACTTTAACGTATTTTTTCGATACAACGCTACTTATCCTTATTACTCAGATGCCATTTGGTATTTAACACAAATGCGCCGTTGGGGGCAAATTGGTGAAGAAAAACCTGATCAATGGTACTTTGACATTGCCAAACAAGTCTATCGCCCTGAAATTTACCGACAAGCAGCCAATGCCTTAATTCAAGAAGGAAAATTAGAGGCAAGTGAAATCCCTAACGAAACAGAAACAGGCTTTAAACCACCACAAAACGAGTTCATTGATGGGATTGAATATGACGGTAAAAAACCGAATGCCTATCTGAAGTCTTTTAAAATTGGTTTAAAAAATGCTGAAAAATTGTAAGTTTTTAAACCTCGTGCTGACCACCCAATTCAGACCAATACGGGCACGGGGTGGTTAAACTTAAACTCCGTCTTCATCTCATTAAAGCTACACATGAACGCTTCTACCACAACACCAACGAAGTCGCATGATACTTCGAGGACTTCCATGAAATTTTTACCTTTCACTTTAAATCGCGTTGAACTTCGTCTCCGCTTTCGTAAAATCGCTGAACATGCCTTGTTGGTTTTTTTTACGCTCGCTATATTTTGTGGGATTTGGAGTTTATCGGCACGTCAGGTACAAACCAGTTTGGGTCAATTACCAGGTCCTGTTGACACATGGCAGCAATTTCATAATTTAATCAAAGAACACCAGCAAGAGCGTCATAACGAAAGCCTGTATTACCAACAGCAGGCGCAAAATAATCAAGCCCTCCAAAGCAACAATGCTCAAGCGAATATCGATACGGCGCCTTATGCCAAAAACCCCACCTTTATCGATAAAATTTTCACAAGCTTAATCACCGTATTTGTCGCTTTTATTTTGGCAAGCTTAATTGCCATTCCTTTGGGGATTTTTTGTGGCTTAAATCAAACCGTTTATGTTGCCTTAAATCCCTTAATACAAATTTTTAAACCCGTGAGCCCACTAGCATGGCTACCCATTGTCACCCTCATTATCACGAGTGTTTACAACACGGAAAATGCATTATTCGAAAAATCATTTGTCATCTCGGTCGTGACTGTCGCTTTATGTTGCTTATGGCCGACACTTATTAACACCATTGTGGGTGTATCGTCTATGAATCCAGATTGGTTAAATGTTGCCAGAATTTTAAATTTGTCCTTACCGACCAAGCTAGTCAAAGTGATTTTACCAGCAAGTATGCCCATGATTTTTACGGGTTTAAGACTCTCTCTAGGTGTAGGCTGGATGGTTTTGATTGCAGCAGAAATGCTCGCGCAAAATCCGGGCCTTGGGAAATTTGTATGGGATGAATTTCAAAATGGTAGCAGTAGTTCTTTAGCTCGAATTATGGTTGCTATTTTGGTCATTGGTTTGATTGGTTTTGCTTTAGATCGTTTGATGTTGATGTTGCAGAGAAGTATTTCTTGGGATAAATCACAAATTTTACGTTAATGCCATTCCCCTCAGACAGGAGTCGTCACCATGAATAATGCCTTTTTAAGTATCGAAAACATTGGCATGAGTTTTGCCACGCAACACGGTCCATTTATTGCCTTACAAGATGTTAATCTGCCTGTTAATCAAGGTGAATTCATCTCCATCATCGGTCATTCGGGCTGTGGCAAATCCACCATTCTTAACATTGTGGCAGGCTTGTATCAAGCCACCACTGGTGGTGTCATTTTAGATGGACAAGAAGTGAATCAACCAGGTCCTGACCGTGCTGTGGTTTTTCAAAACCATGCTTTAATGCCATGGTTGACCGTCTATGACAATGTGGCTTTGGCGGTCAATCAAATTTTCAAAAATCAGATGGCCAAAGCTGAACGTATCGATTGGATTGAACATAATTTACGTTTAGTTCATATGTCACACGCTCTCAATAAACTGCCTAGCGAAATTTCAGGTGGGATGAAACAACGCGTAGGGATTGCTAGAGCACTTGCCATGAAACCTAAGGTTCTTTTGATGGATGAACCTTTTGGTGCTCTTGATTCCCTAACACGTGCTCATTTACAAGATGCCTTGATGCAAATCCAAGCTGAATTAAAAAACACGGTCATGATGATTACGCATGATGTTGACGAAGCGGTTTTATTATCTGACAAAATCGTCATGATGACCAATGGACCCGCAGCAACCATCGGTGAAGTGCTTAACGTCAACTTACCTAAACCTCGCAAGCGACTGGAGTTGACCGATGATGTCAACTACCATCATTACCGTACCCAAGTCATTCATTTTTTACATGATCGTTATAAAAACCCTGCGGACAAAGCAGCTTAACGATTTCTATTTTTCACAATTGATAAACGATATTCCTATGAAACAACAAAAACTCGTCTTAATAGGCAATGGTATGGCAGGCATTCGCACCCTTGAGGAGCTCATCCGTATTGCGCCAGAGTTATATCAAATCACGGTCATTGGAGATGAACCGCATGTCAATTACAACCGAATTATGTTGTCGCCTGTTTTAGCAGGAGAACAAAGCTTTGAAAGCATTATCTTAAATACCCGTCAATGGTACGAAGAGCAAAACATTACCCTAAAAATCGGCAAAAAAGCCACCCTCATTCAACGCAAAAATTGTTATGTTGAGCTAGA